CATTTTATCATTAACACTGAGCCAAACAATTGTTTCTCATTTTTGATATTTGTCTTCTTTATCGAAAGATTATTTGACTTAAATGATATTAGAAAAAAAAAAACTTTGATATCTACAGATAAAATCTTCATCTGGTGGACAATGCTGAAAGTCTCAGATATTACATTTTATTGGAAATAAACTTCTTTATAGTACACATCATCATAGAATTAATTCTATAGTGAATACTTTGGAAAAAATTCCAATGGGAGAGTCCATTGGGTCCAAAATTTTCGGATTTGAACCTGGTTTAACCATACTTTGATATTTTCCATCAAATTTTCTAATCAGAATTATTTTTTTTTTCGGCTTTTTGTACTTGATGACTGACTAGTGACATTTGCGACAGAATGACTTTAGTATATTTTAATAATTTTTTAATTTTTCAAAGTCAAAAATGCCTGAAAAAACAAATAATAATGAGCGATAGTTAGTTTATTGACTAATGTGCTTCAAATGCTATGAAAGCGAATCTATTATTCGTAAAAAACTCGTTTTAGAAAATACCTAGCTTCTTGATAGTGGACGATCTTGAAAATTCTGAAGAGTGTCCGCTCTTATAAAGGTTATGCTGTAGTACATTAGTACGAGAAATGAATGTGATCAGATGAAAGAATTATATTAGATTGTAAAATCCGTATGTATAATCTATGCTTTTTTTTCTGTTTTCTAGAATGGCCTGAAATGGTTGATAATACATTACCCTCATCAGCAACGTCTGAGCAAGCTATTCCATTATATAATGATAAAATATCAATTACTACTTCAACTTCATTGCCATCATTGTCTAATTTTGATAACGAAACAAAAACACGTATTTTAACTTTACTTAAAGAATTAGGCGAAAGTAATAATTCATCATCGACAACTGATAATTCATCAACAACTAAATTAGCGTTTGTTGGAAAAAATCTTTATGTATGTTCGACATGTACAGGTCCTGTGCAGTGGGTGTGAAATGAAAGAAAGATTTGTTTTTCGTCGTTTTGAATAGACATGTATACGCGTACGATCTTTTTATTGTTGGTCTTCTTCTTCATTTTATTGCTTATTTTATTATATCACTAAAGAAAACAGAAACGAGGGGCTTTTCTTTATCATTCTTATTTTTGACATAATCGATTTTTTTTCTTCTTTTTTTTTTCGTTTCTTTTCATACAATGGTTATCGATTTTCGTTTTTTTTTCCTCTTGTTGAATTTTTCAAACGATTTGAGCAAAAACACAAGAAGGTATAAACAATGGCCAACATTATCGATGTAGCTCGTATGATTTTAATGATTTGCAATAAAATCGGTTCTTTTTTTTCATTTCTTTTTCTTTGCTCATCTATTGAATAAATTTGTCTTTTTCAGATGCTTGCTGCTAAAGCTCACGAATTAATCAAAGAACTTGATCGTTCTCGTGATACAATATTACCTCCTTATAATATTGAAACTATTCGTCTTTGTCAACTTGAAGCAAATGAATTATTTCGTCAAAATTATGAAGATGTTCAAACAGTTGTACAAGCCGGTACAGATAATAATGGTGCAAGTTCTCCACCAACATTAATGCCAACAATAAGTATTCGTCATGCAGCTATACAACGAATAAAACGTTGTTTACTTGCATATGCATATCATCGTATGAATAAAATAAAATCATTTCGTTGGTCAATAGGACCTGTTTTACCAGAATATATAAGAAATAATTTATCAATTGATGAATTAGAATTTTTTTCAAATTATAATCAAACATTATCATCATATATGCGTTCAATTGGTAATAATCATTCACTTGATTTAACAACATTTATGATTCCACCTAAAAAATTATTTGCACATATTAAATGTATACAAGAGTATGGTCCATATGAAACAAGTGATGGTACAATAATACAATTAACATTTAATAGTGAACATTATGTATTAACATCGGATGCTGAACATTTAATACAACGAAAAATAGCTGAACATATTGTTTAATAATCAGATAAAATGTTATATATATATTTTTTTTTTTTTTGGTTCTTCTATTGTCAGATAAATAAAACATCAGATACAATTATTATGGTTATTATTATTATGACTATTTTCTTTTGTAGATCATTTAATAGTCAGCACAATGCCGTCCGATGCAAAAAAGAAACGTGATCTTCAAAAAAAAGCTGCCGCTAAACAACGACAAGCTCAGCCAAGTAAAAAAGTTAACACAACAAATAATTCTAATGCTAATCAAAATAATGATGATTTATTCGATGACAATGATGATGATGAAATTCAAAATGAAAATGAAAATCTTACAAATGGAACGAATGGAACAACAACAAATGCAACCAATGGTAAAACAAATGAAGCAAATGGTGCAACAAATGATGTTGATCCAAATGTTAAATCACTAATACAAAATCTTGATTTATTAACTATGGTTGAAAAAGCCAATGCTGAAGCACGATCCTGCACAGGTACACAATAAAAAAAAAATGATTTTGTTTCTTTTATAAATCTTTTTGCTTCATTATTTAAAGGTGTTCTTGGAAGTCATCCTAGTGGTCGTGATATTCATATAAATCAATTTTCAGTTACTTTTCATGGACAAGAAATATTATCTGATGCAGATTTTGAAATGAATTGTGGTAGACGATATGGTCTCGTTGGCTTAAATGGATCAGGCAAATCAACTATACTTGCGGCTATTGGAAATCGAGAGGTAAAAAAATTTATTAGCACTATAATAAACGAAACTATCTTATGAAAAAGAAGTTGTCTCGTATAATTTTCATATTTCTTAACGAAAGGAAAAAAAAACCTTAATTTTATAATAACTTACCAAAATCTAATGAAATTATGATAGTCTATCATATCATATCGATAGTAACTCAAAGTATAGTTAACTCTTCGAGTCTAAAATTCGATTTTTTTTTGTAAGGTTTTTCTGAAGAAAATGTAAATAAGTTTCGTATGACAACGTTTTCAAAAAGTTGATGATTATTTAATGTCGAGACACATGAATAGCGTCGAAAATGAAAATGTCGACAAAAAAAAAACAAACGTGCTAATATTTGAAAATATGACAGTTACGGGGCATGGGCTGATCTCAATATGAGTGTGTATAAGGATCTTGAAATATATATTTGTTGAGATGAGATAAACATATGAACATGATGCTTGAATCATCTAATACAAGAATTCATTGAAAAAAGTTTTTATTTTCGAAGGGCTTTTGAAAGCTTTTATGAATGATGTTTGCAACTCTCTAGATCAATGATGATGTCTAGAGCAATTAGTAAAATTTTTTTGTAAAGCTAGATCGGCAAAATAATTAAATCTTGAGCACTTTAGAGGTAGACTTTTGAGATTTTCGATGGCTGAAGTGTGTGGATGCATATCTTCTCTCTATTCAGTTTCGTAACTATTCAGAAAAAAACGCTTTCTATTCCAAGGAAGACCAACAGTTCTCTCTGAAGACTACGAAGAAAGTTTTCTCTTGTGCATATTTTACTTATATCTGTGCTATAGGACATAACAAAAAATTTCCTATATCGTAGTCAACAAAAATTTTCAGGAAGAAAGATTAGAAGCGAGAGAGAATTTAGAATAGGAAATCATTCCACTTCCTCTTCCTAATCGCATGGTCTGCCTACACCCACATCCTCAAATTAAATCCTTTATATAAATTAAAATAGTATATTTCTTATTAATTAACTAACCACCATTATGAGTCTTTATTATATGAGTGAATACTACAAAGAATATTAAGTCAATGGTAGATAGTGATATATCTTGTACGAAGAAAATCTTATATACATAGATAAGCCATTCGATTGACATGTAATATATTTTATTTTTCACATCCATTATGATTAATAATAGAAAGACTAAACAAAAGAAATAGCTCTTTTGCGTTTTCTTTAATATAGTTTATTCGAGAAAGCTGTACTCTTTTTAACTGATAGATATATGCATAGCCTTCGAGATGCAGAAAAGAATTTTCTAATTAATTATCAATGCTAGAAAAAGGTTAAGTTTTCCAGAATGCCATTTCTACGATTTCTATGTTTCGAAAGTTTCGATAATCTGAAACATGAAACAGAGTAGAGATTTAGACAAAAAAAAAAATCCTTTTCTTCATCCGTAGTAACATGAAGTTCTCTTTCAAATGAAAATAATCCTAATTTTGTAGCTTAGTCTCTGGAAATTTCCTGAATGATAAGGTATGAAAATCATGTACTTTGTCGAAGTCAAATTTTTAGAAGACACTCCCGCTGAACAATTTTGTAAAAATTATATATATGTCTATTCCATATTGAATTTTCTTTTCTTCCTAGGTACCAATCCCAGAACATATTGATATATTCTATTTATCACGTGAAATGGCACCAGTAAATAAAACAGCATTAGAATGTGTTAAGGAAGTTGATCATGAACGAATTAAACTCGAAGCTGAAGCTGAACATTTAGCAGCTTTAAGCGATGATCATGGTAAGTTAATACAAAACCATATGATAGAATCTGTGTTTTTTTTTTTTTCTGAAAATGAATAATTAACAAAAAACACACATATACATATATAGACAAAAAAAAAACAAAGGAAGCCGGATGTAACAAAACATACTGGGAGGAAAAAATAGAAACAAAATAATCGTTATCACCGGAGCAAACTGTTTAATTATCATCACTGGATCATATTTGTCTATATGTAAAGAAAACAAAAACATCTAGAAAAAAAAAAGATCAAATGAGTTCTGCTTTCTTTTTCTCTCTCTCTCTGCATTTATTCTTTTCGGAATTTTATCTTTTTTTTTCTTCTTTCTTACCAAGAAATGTTGAAAAATTGCCGTACCATGAATAATAGCTTGTTACAGGACGGATAATGAATCAGCATTGATGAATGAATACATCAAACGATGCATAATATTTATCACATCAAGTTTTGAATACTTAATCCTAGAAGAAAATAAAATAACAATAAATGTTTATTTTATTTATTTAAACTTACATCTTTAAGTGATGAACCAATATCAATAAATGATGAATTTGATTTTAATAGAACAGTTGACATATGTGTTGTTGTTGTTGTTTGTGTTGTACTATAACCGGTCCAAAAAACACCGTAAAATGTTGCTAAAGCAATTGCAAACAATGATATTGACAATAAATAACTAAAAACAAGTACTAAACGTAAAAGTTTTTTTCGCATTAAATTTGTTTGTTGTTGTCGTAATGGATATTGTTGTACATGTGTATTATCTGTTTGAGCATTCTTAGCTATATTCATCCAAAGACTTTGTCGTTGTGAAGCTAATGCTGTTATTTGTAAACTTTTTCGACGTGGCAATAAATGAACAATACTAGTTATTGATGATGGTCGTTTTGCTGGCACTGCTATTGGTTTGATAATATTTTTTGGATTAGGAGATGGTGGTTGTGATGAAACTTTTTCCGTATTTGTTTTTATCGATGAATACGAAATATGATCAAATACTGATGATTCTCCAGTCGTTGGTATTGGTGTTTGTTTTATTGATGGATGATTTTTAAAATTATGATTATTATAAGCTAAAAAAGCACGATTATGTCTTGATGTTTCCATAGAACATGAATGTTTTCTTGTTGAATAATAGTCTTCCTTTTCTTTTTTTTCTTCTTCTTCTTCTTCTTTGTATTGAAATGCGTCTTATCTAGAAGAAATGAGGAAATATAAATCGAGAATAAATGCATGAACGAAGCTTAGACATTTCTATTCGTCTATGCAAAATTGAATGAGTTCTTCGTGCAGAAAATTATAGTCGTTCAATCAATAAAGGATGCTATACTTGTTCTTACCTTGAATCAGCAAAAGTAAAAACAGGAAATAGATAAATTCATACAATTGATTATTAAAGAAAAAAAAAAGATCTATGTGAAGTATTAAGTGGCTTCGTACAGAGAAAAGTTAATAATTCGATTTTTTTCTGCTTTTTTTCGGCATAAAAAGACGTGCGCCGGTTCCGTTGTGATTGTTACATGTAACAATGATGAGATGAGAAAGAAGCAAAAAAAAAAGAAGCTAGAAGACAAGATTAGAATATTGATTGGAAAACAAAAAGAGAAAAAAAGCGCACCAGTAATGAATGTCCTCGAAATAAGAGAACAAAAAATGAGAAGAAAAAAAGAAGAATATCTGAGTCGTCTAAGCGAGAAAAAGAAATGAGAATTTATCTGCATTGACACACCACACATTGTCAAGTGTCCCAATTATCTTACACATTCAGCAATGATTGTTGACATTCTCCTGGTGCTTTTGTTGAACTGTGTCTAAATATATATGTCTATCTATCTATCTATCTATCTATCTATCTATCAATCTATGTACCGTTTTGATGATAATATCTGTCATGACAAAGCGAGTGTTCTTCTTTTTTACCAATAACAAAAGAATTACCGACGTTGTTTCTCGTCAGTAGTATTCTGATGTCCTTCTTCTTGTCTCATGGTTAGCTTTCATATGCAATCGCAAAGACAGAACTAAATATTCCTTACCAAGCTGATGTCACGTCCCGCATACACGCAATAGTCATCACATCATATAAGCAAAAAAAAAAGCAATACGATCCTTAAGGCTAACTTTAAGATCTGATAATTGAAAGCTAACCTTGTGTAAGCATGCGTGTTCTTTATATCATAGTGAGATTACATAGGAAAAAAAAAAGAAATGAGCAAAAAAAAAAATAAAAATGACACTATATTTATATCTATAATAAGACTTACTATGATATTATTACTTCAAATTTATTAGCCAGGAAACCAGATAAGAAGATTCGTGACTTATTGTTTTAATTGATGAGAAACGCGTGTCAAAAAGCATCTATCATTTATTTTTTTCTTCGTCATGTATTCTATGGAAGAACGACAGCAGTAGGAAAAAAAAACGAGAATAAGTAATGTAAAAGAACGATGAGTTGTTGACTAATACTTCCTTCTACTGCCTGTGTGTGTGTGTATGTTACATATAGTAATTTTTCTTTCTTTGTCAGTTCTCTTTAAATGCTTTTTCTTCAATTAGACAAAAACTCATAGTTTTTTTTTCTTCCTTCTTGTCATATTTTATAGCTACAAGTCTATCTTACTAGTGAGATACGACTACTAATGAACATCATATTTTTTTTTGTTGTTGTTGTCGTTGATGCTATCAATAAATACAACTTGTTTAGTGGAGTAGAAAATGTTTATTACCAGAGAGATAAGCCGTTTGCCTTTGGTTAATCTGATTGTAAAAATATGTTTGAACCAACGGCAGAATTGATAATTTATTCTCTCGAGCAACATCGACTAGAACAACTAACTAAGGATTTGTTTATTTCGTGATACTTGAGTTGTCGATAGGCAGAAATCGAAACAAATTATTCAATAAAAGCCGTTTGCCTTCTGTCTAGTTTTATCATAATAATCGGCACACTATATAACTAAGTACAGTGATAAGTGACAAGTTTTTTTTTATGACTGTCGCCACACCAATATTTGGATCAAGTGAAATGAACTTATCATTCTTCGTTTGCTTTTTTACAAGGAATACTTTTATGAATTGAAAAAATAAATATAAAGAAAGAATAAACGAAGGGAATCGAAGAATTTGCTAAGATGCCAAAAACAACAGGAGATATTAATTATTTTTTTTATTATAGGAAAAGAAAAAATTCGAATGAATGTCAATATAAGATTGCTTTGTGTGCACAATTTATTTGATAGAAAACCTCGATTTAGAGCATGTGCTCACTTGTATTCATCGCAATATAACATATGGGATAAATATCTCAATTAATATGACCTTGACTTAGTCTATCATTTTCTTAATAAGCAAAACAAAAAAAAGGAAAACGAATAAATCGGTTTAATGAATAGAAATTTTGTGTCTAATATGCAATAATAGGAAAGCTTTATATGTAATTGATCAATGCCATTGTGTAAATTGCTGACAATAGTAATGTCATATTTTGTCTTTTATTAAATGTTAAGTACTAGAGGAGAAACGATCATTGTATGTTGTGTCATATTTATTTATCAACACAGATGCTCCAATAATATTTCCTTATGAGAAGGTCTATTTCATTAGCTTTATATCATTTAGAAATGTTGATTGTTGAAAGATATTGCCCTTAAGAAATGTCAACTAGAAATGAAACATCTTAACAAAAAAAAATAGATCAAATTATTATCAATCACAATAGATATAATAAATATATTTTCATAGAACAAGTAGTTTTATGTAAATCTTGATAAAAATAAGTTTGATTGTATCAATATTGAGCTTCATCAAATATTGTTATTTCTTAAGTCTTTCCTCAAAAATCGACTCTGAGCCTAGTACATTCATATCGCATCAAATTTTTAGGATTGTAGTGGATTGACAGTAGTAAAATTTTCAACTCTATATTATGATGTTTTCGGAAGATATTCAACAAACAAGAATAAAAAAAATAGCGTATTTGACGACCTAAAATTTTCTATCAGTCTTCATTCTATATACTTAATTGTTTTTTATTTGAAAAAGTATGTCAGGATATAAGGCATGACGGAGCTATATTTTTTTTTAATTTTCACTTTTTAAGTGGAGAAAAGGGATGACAAGTTCAATGTGTTGAAATATTCTCCAAAAGACTTACGTTCTAATTAGAAAGATATTATTTTATATAATAATAAAAAAGCTTGATTCAAAAAAAGGATTCTGTATTGCTCTACAGTTCCACATATTCTTTCAAACCAAACAGACCATTGACTACCATAATGATCCTTGGGGAATTTTAGGATGTGCAATCAAAAATTATAAACCGAGAAAAAGTGAAAAATATTTCGCACTTTTAGTCAGAAAATGACGGAAATTTAAAAAAAAACAAATGTCTAATAAGAAATCATGTCATTTATGAAACGTCAGCCCTCGAGCTATCTTCTCATGTACTTATCTCAATTTTCATATTTTGGACGAAAGTCATCTTTTTTGTTAGAAGGAAAGCTTCAACAATAAAGGTTGTTATGAAATCAATACATAGTTTTTCTTGTATACATTTTTAACTTCAAGGTATATTTTTAATATTATTCTTCTTCATTAATATTTGATCGATTAACATTATTGATCTTTTCATGCTCGAGGGAAAGGAAATCATTTTAACAAAAATACATAGTAAATATTAGCTCAAAAACAAACATTGAAACCTGGAAGTAAAGAATAAAAAATATCTTTTCAACTTTCATACTTGATAATTGTTTAATCATTTACTTTATCTTTTCAGAAGCACAAGAACTATTACTTGACATTTATGAACGTTTGGATGATCTCGGCGCGGATAAAGTAAATATATTATTATATTAATAAAACAAAACAAAACAAAAAAATACTATTTTTCGATTATTTCTTAGGCTGAAGCTCGAGCTGGTCGAATTTTACATGGTTTAGGTTTTACTAAACAAATGCAACATAAAAAATGTAAAGATTTTTCTGGTGGATGGCGAATGCGTATTGCTCTAGCACGAGCACTTTTTGTTAGTCCACATTTATTATTACTTGGTAAAATATTTCTTTGTTTTATTATTTAATTGAAATTTATTTATTTTAGATGAACCAACTAATCACTTGGATCTTGATGCTTGTGTATGGCTTGAAGAAGAACTTCGCAATTATAAACGTATTCTCGTCATGGTTTCTCATTCACAAGATTTTCTTAATGGTGTTTGTACAAATATTGTACATTTAACAAAAAAGAAACTTTTTGTCTATGGTGTAAGTGAAAGTTTAAAATTGTTTTTGAATATTAAAAGAAAAAAAAATCACAAATATTTTTAGGGTAATTATGATGCTTATGTTCAAACACGACAAGAATTAGAAACAAATCAAATGAAAAGATATCAATGGGAACAAGAACAAGTAGCAAAAACAAAAGGTTTTATTGCACGTTTTGGTAGTGGTAGTCGTGCATCACAAGCACAAAGTAGAGAAAAAACATTAGCAAGAATGATGGAAGGTGGTTTAACTGAAAGAGTCGTTCAAGAAAAAGTATTATTATTGATCGATTATTTTTCGTTTTTTTATTATTAATTGTCTATAATTATATTTCACTAGACTTTATCATTAGCTTTTCCTGATCCAGGAAAAATTCCACCACCTTGTTTAATGGTTCAAGGTGTTGCTTTTCGTTATTCAGATAATACAGTAAAAAATAATTTTTTGTTGAAATTTTTGCTTTCTAAATATTTTCATTAAAGGATTGGATATATACAAATCTTGATTTTGGTATTGATCTTGATACTCGTGTTGCATTAGTTGGTCCAAACGGTGCTGGAAAATCGACTTTGCTTAAATTAATTGATAATCAATTATTACCAACTAAAGGACAAATACGTCGTAATGCACATTTACGTATGGGTCGTTATCATCAACATTTAACTGAACAATTAGATCTAAATTTATCAGCACTTGATTATATGATGAAATGTTTTCCAGATGTAACAGAAAAAGAAGATATGAGAAGAATTATTGGTCGATTTGGTTTAACAGGTAGACAACAAGTATGTCCTATGAGAAATCTATCTGATGGACAACGATGTCGAGTATGTTTTGCT